CGGCCTTACCGACAAGATACAAAAGAATACAGGGCACTACATTTGGGGTTGGCTTGGCTTGGCTGCACGAGTTACTGGCTTAGTATTGTCAACCAATCGCCTTCGAGGCTCTACGCCAGATTTTCTGTCTAGATTTACTTCCACAGCCTTTTCCGTGTTTGAATATACCCGCAAGGCAGCGAAGGTTTAAAATCAGGGTTTTCTTTCCTTTATATGGACTAGCTTCCCGGGTTAACGAGCTCCATCTACTTGAAAATATATATATATATATATATATATATATATATATATATTATAGAAATATTTTCTACATGGAAAAAATAAAAAATAAAAGTTTAGTAGGTTTATCGAGCGCACAAGAAAAGGAAGGGTTCTTAATCGGTTTGAAATAGAATAGAAAGAATTTACTTACAATTAAATTTAAATTAGAAATGAAAGAAAGATATAATAGTGTTATATAGGAATAAAGTGTCGCTGCCGACACTTGAGTTTGAACATAGATCTCCAGAGAACAAACACGGGCGATCCCATTATTGAATTAAGTGGATCGCGTGACCATAGAGGAAACACATGACGCATGACACGTGACGTCTAAATGATCTATGTTTCTAGTCTATCGTCTATTATTATACGGATCTCCATTTCTAGTCTCTCCTCTATTACTATCCGGACCGCTATTCTCTACTCTATTCTCTATACTATTTCTCTATACGGATTACGATTCGAGCGAGTATTATCGAGCAAGTACTATTAGTGCGAGTGATATTCGAAGGCGTCTGAGACCAGTATTGTTCAACGGCGTACTATAGTTGTATCTGCGATTACAAAGTCTCTACTACAACGAGAATTACGAAAGTGACAACGAGTATTCGTTGACATCACAAAAAATAACTTGCTCAGAATATTGGTAAGCTGGTAGAAAAAAAAAGTAGAACTTACAAATTATAAAATGAAAAACGTCCTTGTTACAAGGATACACGGTGATTATATTCTTCTTGTTGGAAAGACGTGACCTGTCAGCAGTTGAGGTCAAGCATGCCAGTCGCGAAGAATGTTGAAGTGAGAAACACTGATTGAGGAATTTTGGTAGCAGCGATGTGACTAAAACTAGGTTTCCATCTTTTTTGAAGTTGGTTTCAGAACAAATTATTGCATTCTGGTTTCGGTCACGTTCTCCGGAGGTTTTGTCTGACTTCTTGGGGTTTCGGAACCTTCTTGCTGTCCTCTTGTCTTCATAACTATCCATTCTGACCGCATAAATGAAGAGATATTTTCACTGGTCTGTGACGTTCTTTATATTTGGGTGGGTCAGGATCACTTTTTTTTTTTTTTTTTTTTTTTTGAATCATTTCATCCTAAGTAAGGCAAGAATTCCACTAGACCGCAGGGGTTTACGGGGAGGGAAAGTAAAAAAAAAGACTGAGAATAGAGAGGAGTGAGGAAAGGGCAAAAGATGAACGGGGTTCAAGAAGATAGAAGATGGCGATTGGCGTTGCATTTAAATTTTTGATGATTGTAGTTATCAGGGAAAAAAAAACGGAAGTGAGTTCCACAGGCGGGAAGTGCAAGAAAAGAAACTGTTGGGCGCTATTACACTTTCACACTCACCGCCATGTTGTAAAATTTCACCGCGATGTAATTTCCCTCCCCCCGCAAAAAAAATAATTTTTTCCTCTTTGCTCTTCTTTTTGCACTGCTTAAATTCATCACTTCACGTTCTTTACTCTTCATTTCAAACCAAGTTTTATGGCTGGGGTTCAACGCGTTCCCAATCAACGGGTTTTTGATGACATCACCATTTTGAAAATTGGAGCACAGTTTTACAATATTGATAATTGCATTGACTGGTGCCGTAACTATGGTTTGCTAGCAGTCAGTATGGACAGCATTAATTGCAACAGCCGTTGTTGGGAACAAACCCATTCGCAATCGGTGGACAGCAGCATTTGGACGTAAAGCTTGGGGTGTGAAAGTGTAATAGCGCCAACTGTTGGAGTAGAAGTGGCGGTTGCATTTCGTTATCAGTAAATAGGTGGTACCTAGATGCCAATCTAGTCAGTCAGTTATGTGTCATACGTGATACTCGCTTAGGTGATCATGTATCTTTCGATACATGACTGACGAGGCAGATTTTTTTTTTCGCAGTAAGTTGTCATTTCTTTCTGCAGTAAGCTAGTTGCCATCCAAGGCTATAGAACCCGGTCTTTCCTGCTATTTATCCATAGCTAGGTGGAGAAGAAGAGGATTCATACCTTTCCCAATGATATTAGCACATAAGTGAATGTTATGGATTCGATTGGAATTCGAACTCGGCTCTCCGATCCCTCAGTCCGAGCCGCTATCCATTCAGTCACTTATGTGCCATGCGGGATACACGTTTAGGCGATCGTATATCTTTCGATATATGACTGGCGAGGCAGTTTTTTTTCCCTAGTTGCCATCCAAAGCTATAGAACCCGGTCTTTCCTACTATTTATCCATAGCTGGGGGGGGAGAAGAAGAGGATTCATACCTTTCCCAATGGTAAAGTGAATGTAATGGATTCGACTGGAATTCGAACTCGGCTCTCCGATTCCTCAACGCTTAAATTCATGTAGTCAGGACACCAGAGAAAAAAGCTCGTCAGAGCAGTTTCTATCCTTTGAGTCATGGAAGTATAACCAATTGACCAGTAGCTGAGTAAAAGAGAAAAAACAAAGACGATGGATGTTAAATATTCAGATTAATTGTAATAAAAATGATGATTGATCCAAACGTGAAATTTAAACTAAAACTTCAACTCTCAGATACCAGAAGAAAAAAACAGAAAAAGAAAGCCAAACGAAAGATTAACAGAGGTAGATACTTCTGCAAGAAGGAGACAAAGAAAAAAATACTCAAATTACCATTCAAACAAGAATTAAAAATGGCAGATATCACTGAAATATCTTTAAAAACAGTCTTGGGTTTGACTTGCCAGTTAAGTTACTTCTCAGAATGTACATTCAGCTAACTTATTTGAAGATTTGATAATCGGCCCACAGAACTCTTTTTAATCATTCGATGTTTAACTGACATTCTAGTTTATTTATCATTTCATATAATCTGGAATTTTAATTCATTGCTTCTGATTGTTGGAAAATAATCCAAAGGAAGACCTTTCCTTCTCAAACCTTGTTATAAAGTTAATATGATAGATTAAGTTTAAAACAAAACAAACAAATCCCAAAATCCAGGAAGAAAATTTAGGTCCAATGTCAAAAATCCCAATGCACATAAAAACCTAGATATCAACCGCACGCTACAACAGTCACACTTCAAAACGCTCCGATCGTATTAAAAAAAAATAGCGTCACACATGCGTAGTGGGGCGATTGCAAATGGCCGCTCCTCGCGACGACGGCCATGTTGAATTTACACGCCAAACAGGTGTTTGTAAGTGTATTCTCTCACCACAATACTTTTTTCTTTTTTTTCCTTCTCTTTTTATTGCCCTGAGCCAGACATAGAGTTGTCATAAACAGGCTCACAAACAAATCTTATCAAGAGAAGGTCGTCCGATCACCTCATTGTTTATTAAAATCTTCGCTTTTGGAATTATAATTTTTTCGCATCAATTCTTATATATATTTGTCTGGGAAACATCTTGACAAAGTTACAAATCAACTTCGAGCATTTTTTAAATTGACTTAGGGCTCATCTAATGGGGCGGGGGGTACTCATTAAAAAAATAAAAAGATAAAATAAAACAGATCTGCACATATTGAAACCAACACACAACTCAAAATTGTTAGAATAGATTCGGTTTTACTCATTTGCACTCATTAGATTCGGTTTTACTCATTTGCACCGACGTAATAAATATTTTATAAAACTGGTCGATATAAACGAATTTAGAAAGTCAAAAGGCTGAAAGGGTCGTTAATTTTAACGAAATATAAAATTTGGGTATTTAAAGTTTAATCCTCCTGATATTTTTAAAACTAAATTTAAAATAAAATCATAATTTCATACAAAATCATCGGTTATACTCTCAATTTTTTTTCACATTTTAAACTATATCAAGTATTTTAGTGCTTAAATAATTTACCCCACCTCATATTTTCAAACTATTCATATGTCAAAGGTTATAGTACTTAAATAATTTACCCCACCTCATATTTTCAAACTATTCATATGTCAAAGGCATCAAGTGCTTTCAATTCAAAGTTTTCTTTCTCCTATACTGGTGATGGTACAGAGGGGCCGTGCGCTGCCCAAACTAAATGCCCCCTTCTCCTTCCAGGCCGTACCGACAAGATCCAAAGCAATACAGGTCATTACATTTGGGGGTGGCTTGTCTGCAGTAATTGCCAGAAAATTGTCAGTTGTCAAGCCAAAAACCTTCGGGGCGCCACTTTGGATTTTCAGCCTAGATTTAGTTCCTAGGCCTTTTTTTTTTCCGTGTTTTTGGATATGACCGCAAAGCAGCGGAGATTTAAAATCAGGCCCCACCCCCTTATGTAGATGGACTGCCTTTCCGGGCAGTCGCATTCCATCTACCCGAAGCAACTGATTATGTGGCGCTAGTTTTCCGTTTTCTCCCATTCTCTGGCTTGGAGCTGGACTTAGTTTTCAAAGGCTATTTGTGACACATGCCACGGAAGAATTTTATAGACAGTGGGAGCTTGTCTCCACTGTCATCCACGGCTATGACAACCAATGAAACGTAATTTACTATTACTTGCCAATGCTAAAAATAGTGTTTCTTGTAAGTTCATTAGTCAAGTAATTTTTGATACATGCGGTCTACCAGGAATCTGCCAAACAATGCATGTAGTCCACCGAAAAAAAAAACTTGCCCACTCAGGATTTAGATTATTTTAATCTTCCGAACTAGTTTAGATCGATCGATTTTTAATTTATTAAGGCGGCGCAAGGCATCGTAAGGCGTCCCAAAAGAGTAATATCTGAATTGATTTTCCAACTTAATTACCATTCGCTGACTAATTACCTTTTTTGTCTTCCTTTTGGCAATTTAGATGATTACAATTCAAAGATTCAAGCAAAGAACGCCATGATTGACGCGGCGAAAAACAGTTGCCATAGAAACGGCGCTACCAGCAGTAACCGCGGCAGCAACACGACGATGAGGACGACGACGACAACGACGACGAATAAGAAGCCGGCAGATGACGTCATGATCGCACTCAGAGACACTCCAACGATGCCTGTGTGAAGCCGTTTAGAAAATTCTTTAATTAAAAAAAGAAAACAAAAAGAATTTCCATTTTTATTCTTCTTAACCGCATTCTGATTTTGTCCCTCTCGAGAAAATATCAGTCCCCAGATGGACAGCCGATGTATTTACTTGAGCCTTTAATTCATCCATTTTGTTTACGACTTTGCTTAATCTCTAAAGAAAATGGCGGTTTTATTGGAGTTTTGATATTTTAAAACTACAGTGTCATTTGAGAATTACTATTCATCTGCGAACAATCTGTGGACAAAAAATAATTTAAGACATATATAAAGTAAGATAATTATTTCAAAATCGTACTTTTTATTTTGTAAAGTTAAAAAAAAATATATGTTAAATACCACTTTCAAACTTAAATTCTGCCAATAATCTATATAAAAAAAGACAATTTTCTTTTTGTTTTATCTTTTTTTCTTACTCACCCAAAAAGATATCAGAATTTTTCTTTACATCACCATGCGTACGTTACAATCGAATAGCTGAATCAAAATTTAAGTTTAATTTTTAAGATAAGGCTGTTAATGTTAAGCATACTCTCATCAAAACCTGAAACATACACACAGAAATTATATATATTATAAACTATGGCGTCTTTCTCAAGTTTAAAATAACAGACAATTTTGTATTTACTACGACATCAGAAAACGCAGTTAAATAGACTAATCGCTTGTCATCACATTTTACTTGTTTTATTTCTACTACTTCACTAAAGAAACGAAAATGGGAGAATTGTCCATAACTATGTAGTGGACTCTTATGATGACATAAAAAGTGTTACACGCAAAAAAAATATGGATACCCATTTCGTAAATACGAGAGTTGGCTGAAAGTTTCATCGGCTGACCAAGATATAAATGTAAGTAGAGAAACCAATTGGTAGATTAAAAATCATGCAATTGTACCAAAAGACAACAGCTGGCTGACCAACTTTTTTATTCTTATACACTTGCATGTCTTTTAGTCTACCAACTTTAGAACTTTAATTGACCCTCATATATGTGGAGATTTTGATCAACACATTTCTAACATTATCTGGCAACTTGTGTTGTCTTGAAAAAAAAAAAAACTCAGATTTTAAACCCTAAGACGTGAATTCGCAAGTATTATTGTTGCGAATTGGTCATTAGTTCATTTAACCTTTCATGGTTAATTTGCAGTGTAACACCCGCGCTCAGTTCGCATTAAAAATTTCCAGAATACTTACATTTATGCGTAATTGTACATTCTTCATTCAAATCTGGCTTGATAAATTTGATAAAATCTACCGTTTTGGAGTTATCAACAGTGAAATTTCGGATTCATTCGCGGCGCGGGCAGCCATTACGAGCGTTGTTTGCATACATTCGCTGCAGAAGAGCTACCAGTGTAGATATCATTGCGCAAACTGAGCGTGTCTACGTAAATAATTCGTGTGCGCAGTAATTGAGACAAATTTAGACAAGAAAGATCAGTTCCGAGCTTAGCTTTCAGTAGTCTTCCTCGTTTAGCTTTCCGCAGCGAATGTATGCAAACAACGCCCGTAATGGCTGCCGCCACCGATGCGATTGAATCCCAGATTTCACTGTCGATAACTCCAAAATGGTAGATTTTATCAAATTTATCAAGCGAGATTCGAATGGAGCATATACAATTACACATAAGTGTAAGTATTTTGAAGATTTTTAATGCGAACCTATTTTATAAGTAGAATTAAAATTGTTTCATCGAAAAGTATTTATTAAATTATTTATATATTATTTAAATTATTCGAAATTGCTAAAATTTAAATTATTTTCTAATTATTTAAATTATTTAAACTTGATGTGAAATTATTTAGAATTATTTTAATGCTGTTTGCGTCGGCATGAACGAAACTGGGAAGTGTCCAACGGTAAGTTCATATGTCGCCATGACGAGAAAGTCTCAAATGCAGCTTTCTCGAGATATCGTCTTACCGAGAAGAGAAAACATGAATCCTGATTTCGCTATAAGGTTTTCTGTTTTTCTTTTTTTATTCACTGACCAAGTTTTGAGTTAATCCAATCTCTCTCTCTCTCTCTCTCTTTCTCTCTCTTTTAGTTAACAATCTCTCTCTCTCTCACACACACACACACACACACACACACACACACACGATGAACTTCATCCGATATCAAGGCCTTTGATCGAGAGATTGGATGTTTTAGGTAGCGTAAAAATCACCTCTTAATTTCTGTTATTCCCAGTGTAACAGGGCATTGACCATGTTTAAACTTTTAAATGCATGTAATTGCAGGTTGGTGATTTCGAGAGATTACTAATTGGATGATATTTATTGAAATTCTCGGGAAAGTGGGTTGAATAGTCGAGAAGAAAATTAAAAACGAAATGCGTTAAAAATTATGTTTTAAAATAATAAAATAAAATTAAGAATAGTTCCCAGGATTCGGTAAACGCAAAACCAAGACCCCTAACTCTCCTCCAACTCCAGTCCACGACAAGTCACCACGAAGCTACTCAGTGAGAGGACAACTCAACGCTGGCTTCGAATTCATAGCTAGTGTGCACATCTCTTAGATCGGCTTTGAGTCGTAGAGATTTTGAAAGTTTGACTGTTTGTCTTAGTGATTTATTAGTTGCAGCTGCCGATTTGGCTGAATGTTGTTCAATTTTCAAGATCGGAAAATGCTGAACACTGCACACAAAGCTTGTGATGGAATATCTCGCAATATGGAGATTAATTACAGGGCTGCAAAATGTGCAAAGAAACTGAAATGCATTTTTCAAGGAATTAATTTTTTTTAAGCGTTTCACCCCAAGCAAGGCGGGAAGCCACTAGCACGCAAGGGGTTACAGAGTGTTGGAGCGAGAGCAAATAGAAGTGATAGAGGAAAGGATGAAGAGAAGGATAGGGGATAGATCAAGGCACCTGGAGACGTCGATTGACATTACATTTGAATAGTTGGAGATTATAGCTATCAGGAAAACAGGAAAAGGGGAGGGGGTTACACAGGCGAGAGGTGCGAGACAAGAAGCTATTGGAGTAGAAGATATGGCTACATTTAACAGTTTCAACAGTGAAAGGCTGTGAGCGAGGTGCCAGCCTAGTGCATCCCTTCCCTTTTGTGAATTATAATATTTATTGTAATGTTTTATTTAGTGAAATTTATGTATGTATACATTTAGGAAAAACCGAATTGTTTTGGACGGACTCGTTAGGTCAGGGGAATGGTGGTTCCCCACTGGTTGGTTATAAAAGATGAGCACTTGGACTAATCAGGTGTGCTAGTATGTAGTGACTGCTAATGGCCGTGCTGCTCTAGTGGAAGCAAGTTGGCAACTACTTATTGTGCTGCAGAAACTAAATATATAAGAGTGACGATGAGGATAACGGATTAACGCAGAAAAGTGACGTACATTTTTTTTCTTTTCTTCGTTGCAAAAGGCAGCAAATTCAAAGGAACAATTTGAGGACTCAAATTGTTACGATCTCTGCTGATAATATGGTGTTGTTTGGAATTATCAAGGAGTGGTCAAGTGAAGAAGAAAAGTGGAAGAACTATGTAGAAAGATTCAATTTTTACTTTCCGGCTAATGATCTTACCAATAAGAATAAGAAACGAGCCATTTTATTATCGGTGGTCGGTGCTAAAAATTACGGTGTTTTGCTAATAACAGGCCAAATGAACAATCGTATGAAAATTTATGTCAGTTATTCACCCTGTGCCCAATGAAATACATGAGCGTTTCTTCTTCTATTCAAGGGAGAAGGAGTGACGGTGAAACGATCAACCAGAAACTCGCTACGCTTAGGAAATTGCCAGATCAGTGTAATTTTGGAGACAAAATTAATAAACACCTAAGAGATAGACTGGTGGTTGGAGTGAAGGACGAGAAAATTCAACGACGACTACTCAGTTAAAGAGCATTAACATTGGAGAAAACTCTAGAAATACTATTGCGCCTGCAACCTAATGCTTCAAGGAAATGCTAAGTGCACAAGGGGGGATGGCCAAGTGAATCTCCGACTTCGCCGCATAGTTTACCCAGAAAATGGGAGTGTTGCCGCTGTGGAAATACCAACCATCTTGCAGACAAATGCTCTTTCAAGGGGGAAAAACTGTTTTAAATTCGGACGGAGAGAACATACTCAGCTGAAGTGCAGACAGGGTGGTAATAAGCAAATTTGGGGCGGGGGATAAATACGGTAAAAAGAACGACAGTGAACAACGTAGATAGGAAGTTGGAAGACGGTTGCCATAGAGTAGAGATGTTTGGGACTAAATACCATCATGACGTCACGTTTTCGCGCCCTACCAGTCGCTGCAGGTAGAAATGCTATTAAATAAGAGGGGGGTGATAATGGAGGTGATCAGTAATGAGTTTAAAGAAGTTTAAGGAATTGAAGACTTTAGAAGACTTGGAGAGCTCCATAAAGTTAAAGACCTATACCGGAGAGGTGGTGAAACCATGGGGGGTAATAGAGGCTGATGTGGCGTACGAAGGGTCAGAGAGTCGGTTGCCATTATTGATAGTGACAGGTAACACGCCGACACTACTGGGACGAAATTGGTTGAAAAAGGTATCACTGGATTGGAGAGAAATATTTCCCTTAGTAGGAGACGACGTTCCTTTAAAATTCAAGGAGTTTTTAGCCGAGTTCGAGTCAGAATTTAGCGAGGAGTTGAGTTGCTTGAAGGATTTCAAAGTAAAATTACCAGTAGACAGAACAACAACTTGATTTTGTAAAGCTCGTTCAGTGACTTATGCACTGAAGGAAAGAATTGAAAAGGAACTGGACCGACTAGAAAGCCAGGCTATACTTTAAAAAGTCGAGTATTCTTGTTAGGCGGAACTTATAGTACCAGTACCAAAAGGTAATAGTAGATCTATTCTGATTTGTGGAGACTACAAGCAGTCCATAAATATGGCCGCTCCTTGTGACACTTATCCAATACCAAGGACTGAAGATTGGGTCAGCTTTATATTTTCCCATTTCCGTATAATTTCTTATACTTTTC